ATATTGCACTTTTTGCAAAGTACTACAAGTCCCACAAATCCTAAACGATGCCCCTTCTCTCGGGCGCCAATGAATATTTCGTGAGGGTTTTCACGGATAATAATCCAACAATTTTTTAATTAGTCAATTAATTTAACTCTTGAACGCCGTTTAGGAATTTCTGCCAAACAATTCTCTTTTCTGGTGACAAGATCAACGATCTTAACCGTGCATATCACCAGATCCGCATCGAACCAGGCGACGTCCCAAAGACTGCAATAACCACACCATTTGGATTATTTAAGTTTACACACATGACATATGGATTGTGCAACGCTGCACAAACCTTCCAAAGGTACATGCATACCACACTGAGGGATTTAGACTTTGTTTATATTGACGATATCGCCATTACATCAGACAATATAGAGCAACACCAAATCCACCATTGGCAGGTTTTTGAACGACTTCGACATTTTCATCTCAAAATCAGCTCTAGCAAATGTCGTTTCGGTCAAACATTATTCGAGTTTCTAGGTGATTTGATCGATCATAGTGGCATCAAACCATTACCAGACAAAGTCAAACCCATCATCGAGTTTCCCTTTCCCAAAGTCGCATAATAACTGAAACGTTTTTTGGCAGTGATTAACTTTAATTGAAGATTCCTACCAAAACTCACTGTTATCATTCATATAATACCGGGTAACAAAAAAAACTACTCAATTCCAATAAGTTGGACAGGTTACACGGGTAAGCGTACTTACGATCGAGAGCTTCTTGCAATTTACCTTAGTAACAATCATTTCCGTTACATGCTCGAAGGTAAAAATGACCATAAATCATTGGTATAGGCTTTTACTCAAAAAGCTGAAAAGCTTCTCCACGTCAGCTTCTACAGCTAGATTTTATCGGAAAGTTCACCTGCATACAGCAGGTGTCGATAGCATTACTGCTGACACTCATCGCATCTAAACTATTAAAGCCACCATCATTGACTACAATAAGATTGCTGCTTCACAAGCAAGTTGTCCAGAGCTAAAAAAGCTTTTTAATGGGAACACAACTTCACTTCAAATCAAATCTATCAACCTACCGCAATCAAGTACTCCCATCTTATGCGATTTTTCTACTTCATCAAACAGAGCTTTGTGTGGCCTTGTGTGCATAAGGATATATCTCACTTCATCAAATACTGCATCATTGCCAAAAATCTAAAGTCAGGCACCACGTTCATTCACTACTCCAATAATATACTCTGCCTTCATGCAGATTTGTGCACATCAATGTAGACCTCATTGGACCTCAATCTGGTCAATTTAGATATTGTCTCACGATCATCGATCGCTACACAAGATGGCCAGATGCAATCGCCATCGAGGATATCCAAGTTGAAACAGTAGCCACAGCACTCATCAACACATGGAGTTCCAGCACGCATTAACACTTACCAAGGCAGACAATTTAAATCCAGGTTATTTAGCGATCTATCGCGCCTCCTCGGCATTGACCATTTTCGGCTGGCCATCCAAATTGCCAATAATTCTTCTCGGCATACGCTCAGCATATAAGCCCGACATCCAGCAAACTGGATGCAAAACAGTTTTGTGTGACACAATACTCCTTGTGTGGAAGAAGTCTAATTACTAAGCTAATAGCCTCTGCCCACTGAACATATTTCGTACACATTTTGCAAAAATGTGACATATTTAGAAATGTGTAAAATGCGGCCTATGCATTTTCCCTTAAGAAAACACATAGACATTTTTCGAAAATGTCACATTTTTGAAAAATGTGTAAGTTCGCCTAGTACATTTCGCGTTTTTGGCGATGATTAATCGAGATAATCATCTAAACAGAATCTAAACCCATACTTCGAGATCGCATTATTTCAGTTTTGGAAGAAAGAGCAACTAGATCAGCTGTTAATTTAAAGAAGCGGTAGGTTTCCTACTCACATGTTACCGACAATCAATATGTGAAATTTTAAAATGTGACATTTCTTAAGCCAGTGGACAGAGGCTATAAGTAATAAAAAGTGGTTGTATAGATCTATATCTATAATGTGTTTAAAGATAATGGGTCCGGTATATAATGAAAAAGTACGAAACTTCTCTATTGAATTCTTTAGGTAAAAATATATTCTAGTGGAAACTGATTTACTATCTGATCTTGTCGAAGACGGCTTCGGAAGCTATCATTGATTCGTGGAGGATTAGATGATCCCCTGAAAAGTACTCGCCTATTAAAAGTTTCTCCCTCCTGAACACAAAAGTTACATGAACAAAACTCGGAGGGATATTTCACACTCAAAAATAATGCGCGGCCCGGAAGCCCGTTTACATTTATATTTAAACTTATATTGGGAGAAAGATAAGTAAAACTGACAAGGAAATCCGTAAACGCGTCTTTTAAACCATAGTGAACGTACTCGCATGGCTCAACGATTCGTTTTCCAATGCCACATGAAGTACATCTTAAAGTACGGATATCCCGTGGTAAACTAGCCCAACAGCAAAACCAAATCATTGCCTGCTCTTTTGTTGATGTTATTAGCGGACAGCCAGGCTATGCGAGTATTAAACTTGGTTGAACCGGAATTTTCAAAAGCTAGCAAATCATTGCTATCATAAAATAATAAACTAGACTCAAATTTCATTTCTACTTCATTTTCATTAACTATCTTAATTATTTCTGCGACTCGTTTCACATGACGAGCTTCGCAAATATATTGTCTGTTTTTCTTTTATATGGCATTTTTACAACTTTCTTATCTTTTTAAATTTTTTTTTTTAATTTTGTTAATTGCTATTTAATTATATTCTGAAAGGGAAAAGTTTAGTTATTAAAAAACACTTGTTAATTACTTACCTTTACAGAATTCCACGTCTGCTCGCTTCGGCGGACAATAGAAAAGAGCACAAAGGAAAATGCTTTTTATTCTGGCTCTTTCCTCACGACGTTGCACTCTCTGAATACGATTAATATATGAAACAAAAACAACACATCATTCTCTCTACTGTACACGAATTTTATCGCAAAGATCTCACTGCAACGCTCGTGAGCAAGTTTTTGGTCCGCTGGGTAGATTTTTGTTTAAGGTTTGGTCTGTAGTATCACCAACCAAACAACATATAGACTGGACAGTCAGTGTACGGCGATGGGGCCTCTTGTTTTCTGTGCGGCTGGTTCAAGGTCGCTTTCGTTTTTGTTCGGGTTTGAAACAGGCTCGCGCGCTCAGACAGCAAGAGAGTAAAAAAATACATATGACGTGCGATTGGGCATTATGTTGGGCGTACGATAGATAACATTGTTGGGCATCAGGGTATCGCCGTGACACAACGCGATTTATCGCTGCGTTTCGCATGTGTTGTGAAGCGTGCGAACGCGTTTCTTGTGCCGATTGTTTGGACCACCGCCGGTGGCCTCTTGCTGCGGTCGATGCAGCTTTTTGCCTTTGTCGTGCATCACGGGCTCCGTATCCTTTAGCATCTCTTTTCGTCACAGCTCGAAGAGCTTGTCCAGAGGCGGCGGTTTGTTGCACAGTGCATACGTCTCCAGCATGGGGCGGGCATCGAGGAACGCGAGAAAATCTTCTGATCGAATATCTTTTTAAACGCCTTTTTGTGTGTTAAATCGGTAAGTGGTACTTCCTCCACGGTGCTATCCAGCTGGGTAACCTTTATCGCCAGCCGATCAATGCGCGCCTGCAGTAATTGTGCCTTTATATATACAACAGTTGCCAATTAATTTTAAAAGTTCAGATTTTTTGACATTTTTTCACATTGGCTGCAATTTGTAAATCTGAACAGCAGTTTCACATCTTTCATTCGTCGCTCGAAAAAGTACTCAGTGTGAATAAACTGACTAACCATACAATGAATAGATACGTCAAACAGCCAAATAATCGAAACACGATAAATTGAAGCGAGGGAGCCCCTGAGAATTCTTCGATAGGCCGACGATGAATTACTGTTGCGGAAATACGACTTCGATTTTTTTTTTAATTTAAGCAAATTAGTTTTCCAGAGCAAACAAGAAAACAATAATATAAAATATAAATATTTAAATTAGGTCATTTAAGTTTTTGTTAAATAAAAACTAATCATTATGCCAGACTAGACGAAGAAATACATAATAGAGCATTTGAATATGTGTGCCCTTTGCTACCGCTGGCAAAATGGCTACACCAAAAACCCGAAGGCTGCGCCAACCAGTTGAAAAAGAAATATCTGGCTCGCGACACCATCATCTACTTGACCGCACATCCACACAACACATACATAAAATGTATGTTTGTAGATAACGAGGGATAATGAGATGCACACAAGTGCACAAGTACGAGCTATGGTTTCATACTGACCTTTGGCTTTCGAGGCAGGGTTCGGCTGCCACTCTCAACAGTCTTATAGCTTCTGTCCACTGGCTTAAGGAATGTCGCATTATAAATTTTCACATTTTGATTTCCCACCGGTTGTCGGTAACATGTGAGGGGGAAAAGTACCGCTTCTTTAAACAAACAGCTGATCGAGTTGTTTTAATTTACATAAGCGCCGCAAAGTTTTTCTTCCAAAACTCAAATAATGCGACCTCGAAGTAAGGGCTCCATTTTACATACTCTTTCCGACATTTCGCCATGTTAAATTCTAAAATTTGTGGGATGAGTACAATTTAAATTTCTTATCTAATGTTGCCCCTTGCAGTCGTTTATCAACGATATATCTATCAGCTGTATATAGTTATGATACTTTCACATTTTTCACAACATCGAAAAAAATTTATGAAATGTGTTTTCTTATGGGGAAACGTACAGGCATATGACATTTTCAGATATGTGTAAGAAATGTGTTCAGTGGACAGAGGCTATTACTCTCTCTGGGCATAACAAAATGGTCGCAAGCACTCATGGGATTCACTCCTATTAATAATGCTTGTTTCGGTTATCTTAACACTTGAAGCATCTATAAATTGTATCGTTATTGCTATTATGGAATTTTTATGTTTTTGAATTTTACGATACAAAAACGATACATATTACGATGATTACGTATAAGTTTATAATTATCGATGTATTAGTGTATTTCTTACATCCCTACACTACTCTAACAAAATAAGATACACAAGCTTGGGAACATCCGAAAAAATGGAATCAAAAGGCGGCCAATCAGATACGAAACTATTGCTAGTAACAGCTAATGTCGGAAGTTTGTTTGAAGATGTACGTATATAACATTTTTTGTATACATACTACTATTCGGTTCTTACATATGTGCATATTTTTTTTCTAAAGCACGTATGTATTTACTTATTTATCTATGTATTTAAAAACGTTCCTATATAAATTATTTCATTAACTACAACGCTGCACAGCCACAAAGACTACTTACAATATGGCTAGAAGAGTTTATTAGCAATGCAACAAGGGTCAATCCCAGATTTTTAGCTTTACATCTACAAGAAGTGGGTGGAAAGACATACGAGAATTCAATGGGTAATGTACAGGAATTTATCAGATGTTTATGCGAGGCAATGGCGAAGACTGACTTTATCTACGTTCATATATATATGGACGAAGACTTTAAGTCTGCGGAACATTTTACTGTGAGTAGCTTAGCTGATGTCAGGAAGTATTTATATAATTTTGTTCGTTTTTTTAAAAGGCACTTGGAAACATTTACTTCGGTCACAAGGATATATGTATATTAAGAATATGGAATTTTCTTACTCACGACTGGGAAGAAAAGCTGGACAAAGGCAAACGAATATATTCTGGTAATATTGAAAATGTTCCGACTAAGGAGAAAGCAAAGTTCCCTCAGCATTTTTTTCCCGAAGTAAGTCTTCTTTAATAAAATAAAAGGTATCAGAGAATCTAAGATTTTTTTTGAAGTCAGACCGTTTACATACTAAAAATGCTTTGCCACAAGCCTCAAGGCTTGCAATCTTTTAGGCATTTGCAATCACGAGATGGATTAAAATAAAGCGTTTACTAGACACCGAAAATAACGGATACTTATTAAAACTCTAAAATGCCACCATTTCAACAAATTTATGTCCACAGGAAATATATATAATTAAAAATCAAAATTAGTCTTTGGTCACAATATAAATCTGATGCCTTCCTTTGAAAATCGAGTCAAAAGTATTGCAGCCATTCACTGCTTCTCCCATAAATATTGACTCTAATTAATAGGTGTTGATTAAGATGTAGTGGTATATTTCAGACACAGAAAATGCACATTCCCTATATATCACTTGGCTAAGGTTGTCAACAGTAAATGGATTGTTGCACTAGTCAGTATTGGCAGGACTCATATAACATTTGTCTCCCATAAAGTAGGTTTCTAAAATTAGAAATAAAAGAACATCAAAATTAAATATTTTAATGCAAACGAGAAAGAAAATCTATCTTCGGCACACCGAAGATATAATACCCTTGCAGAGCCAACCTTTTCATAATGCTTATAGTGCGTTGCCCGTATCTAAGAAGCACAGAGAAAATAGTTAATGCCGAGTTTGGGCAAGATATCTTAATAAACAAAAAAGGGTTTTAATCAAAAACCTGGTTTTCGACCGATCGTTCCTATGGCATATATATTATATAGTGGTCCGATGTCGATAGGATACATATGAGGAGAAAAGTAAAACTAATACATGCCAGGTTTAGTCAAGATATCTTGAAAAACAAAACGTTTTTCATACAACTTCTTAATTTTTACCGATCGTTGCTATGGCAGCTATATGATATAGTGGTCCGATCTTAATAGGATTTTGCATATATATGAGGAGCATAGTAAAACTAATAAATGCCCAGTTTGATCAAGATATCTTGATAAACAAAATGTTTTTTCATACAAAAACTTAATTTTTGACATATGTGCTGCGTGCAACAGAAAGAGGGACCTCTGCAAAGTTTCATTTAGATAGCTTTAAAACTGAGAGACTAGTTCGCTTAGAAACAGACAGACGGACATGGCTATGTCGACTTGGCTGTTGATGCTGTTCAAGAATGTATATACTTTATGGGGTCGGAGATGTCTCCTTCTATGCGTTACACATTTTACGACAAAATTATAATACCCTCTGCGAGGATATAAAAATGCTTGGCTCGCTTGATTAAGTTTGTCAAAATAATCTAGATATATTTACTCCTTGTTTTACTATGACCATATCGAAATAAATGACACTAAATTTTACACTGCGGCTTTATTATTGATTTGATTGACAACTTATTTTAAATTAATAAGTCTGTTCGGGCCCTCATTAAACGTTCGTTATCTTTAATTAGGTAAAAATTTCTTAGCAGCTATTATATTAAGTTTGCCAAGCAGCAAATAAACTTTGAGTTTCGTGCAGTTATGTTAAAAAGCTTTAAATGAAGACAGATACCACTCTCTCACAAAAATAAGCTCTTGTTATTGCGCATGGTTGTTACATATGGTGCAAATAAACCAAAACTGGTACTTTATTTTTTAAACGGTAAAACTAACCATTTTTCTAGTAGTAAGTGCTAAAATTAAGTGTTTGTGTACAATTGCTTCAAAGATGACCCTTGCTCTAGCTCACCATTATAAGGTATTGTGGCGATTTTATTGAATTAGTTCGCTAAACCTCATAGTCCAAAATATCAAAACTGATGCAGTCCATTGTATTCGTGTAATTTTTCTTATTATTGCTTGGGGTTATATAGGTTTCCCTTTTGAACACACCTCGACTTCAGGCTTTGGTTACTTTATCATATCTAATAACATGACAACGAAAAGTTTTAGGTTGTAATAAAAGCTTTTATTATACTTTACCCTAGTGTAAATGGTCTCGGAAAGGATTTATGCGAACCCGATGGGAAATTAATGGAACTGCCGTTGATCTAGTCAATATACATCTTTTTCATGATGCATCTAATTTGGCTGCATGTGAAGATTTTCCTTCTGTATACTGCAAAACAAGGAGAAGAGCCCTCATACATACTATTGAAAGGTAAATGATAAAATGAAACATAATACTAGCAGAATCCACTTGATGTTGCTTACACTCGAACCGATTTAATCAATTTGTTGGTGGTTTAAGACCGACCATTGATGCCTTAATTGATTAATGTTAATTTTGGTTGTTTATCGATCTTTTTCTTTTTTAGATCAAGTTGTTTTTTTTTTTTTCTTAAGCCAATTTTAACTGTTCTCTGGAAGTCTTTTTTAGGCCCTAATTTCCATTACCGAAGAAGTGTCAAAATATATTTGTTAAAAGTGAAGCCGCACGTTGCTGATAATAAATATACAAATAATGATAGAACTTTTAATATTTTTTGAAAAATCGGCCAAAACGAGCAAACTTATATAACCTATAGCTCGCACAGTATCGAAGTATAAAAGTCGACTCTTGTTTCTTCATATTTTATCTCGCACCTTATTAACTCAAGGGACCCCATACATATATGGTATGCTGGCTCTTAAATAATGAACATAAATAATTCACATTTTATATTTTTCCGATAACCAAACTTGATATGTTGCTTCTAGAATATTATATATATATATATATATATATATATGTTGAGAATACACAAATATTTTATGGTACAATAAGATATACTGTAGAAAATTTCATAAAGATCGGTTAAGAATTTCTTTATACATGTACACATACACATTCATTCGCGTCTGCTTCGTATTCTAACAGCATGGTAATTGCGACTTTTTTCTGCAATGCGAATTTAGTTTTTTTTTTCTCATAAGTAGTTAATTATTGGTGTGGCTGCTGAGTAGAAGCATAGCAAGTAGTGCGGTCTGTCGCGAGTTCGAGGCCTACTGGGGAAAGTATTTTTTTTTTGCTGATGTGCCTGTTGAGGAGAGTCGACAGCAAGTAATGCGGTCAGTTGCCAGTTTGAACCCTGCCAAGAGAATTTTTCTTTTTATACCCTGAACCCATTAAAAATGGATATAAGGGTATGTTGTATGTGTGTAAAATCCAAATGTATGTAATAGGCAAAAGGAAGCATCTCCGACCCCATAAAGTATATATATTCTTGATCAGCATCAATAGCCGAGTCGATCTAGCCATGTCCGTCGGTCTGTCCATCCGTCCGTCCGTCTGTATGTATGAACGAAAGGATCTCAAAACCTATAAAAGCTAGAGACTTAAAATTAGATGTAGGTGCTCCTAGTTCCCGCGCAGATTGAGTTTGTTTCCGATAATCGATAACTTACTCCGTTTCCAAGTAATCGAGTAAAAGCGATATCGATATCCTGTTTTTTTTTTTGGCAATTTTGGTAAATAATAAGAGCTAGAGTCACCAAACTTGACATATAGCTTCTAAAATGGAATATATATATGCATTTGATGTTGGAAGAAGAGGGTTCAGGGTATCCCCTAGTCGGGAGCTTCCGACTAGAACCTCTTACTTGTTTTAATTTATCTTTATTACTTCAAACGAGCGCGTTGCGCGAACTTCATTTGGTGTTGGAATAAGAGGGTTCAGGGTATTCCCTAGTCGGGAGCTCCCGACTAGAACCTCTTACTTGTTTATGGTATAATGTAGGGCTAGATAGATAATTACAGTCAGTCACCCTTAGCGCACTGCATGTTTATCTTCATTAATATTCGCTGAGCTGATCTTGGTAAACCTGTATCACTGTAACCAAAAAACCGCCGCCCTCGCGATGTTTAATACACATAATCTTTTTTTATATTAAGATTTATATGACTAATTGACTATAAATCTGGCTCGAAAGATTATTGGTCTGAACTTATGAATGAAAAATGCGGCTTAAAAGTTGTAAGAACAAAAAAATATTTTTTGGATTCAAGGGGATTCACCACGAGAATAAATTGGCTGAAAGACTTTGATTTTACCTGTAGGTTGTTAAATTGATGGACCATTCAAAATATAAGAGATCTGAGTTGTATATAGAACAGGTATGTTTAAATGTCCGTCAGCAAAAATTGGACCGAAAATTAATGTTTAAGATTAGAGTTCAAATACTTAAATGGCAAGGTCGAAAAAAACATAAGGTGCGAAGCCTACCTCAGTTTTTTTTACCCTGAGCCCATTAAAAATATTTAAAAGGTTATAATGTATATGTGCAAATGTATGTACAGGCAGAAGGAAGCATCTCAGACTCCATACATTATTGAACAGCATCAATAGCCGAGACGCTCTAGCCATATCCGTCCGTATGTATGAACGCAAGGATCTCAGAACCTATGTATAAAAGCTAGAGACTTGAAATTGATCATAGGTTCTCCTAGTGCCCGAGCAGTACAAGTTTGTTTCCAATAGTCGATAAATTGCGCCGCGCAACATAGCTGTAAATCAAAAAAAAATTACACATGGAACTACCTACCCATTAAAGCCACATTTTTAGTGCAATCTTCTTGAGAATATACGAATATTCTATACCATAATAAGATCTACTATTGTAAATGTCTTCAATATCGGTTAAGAAACACAAAAATGATTTAAAAACGAGAAAGAAGGGCTATCTTCGGCAAGCCGAAGATCTAATACCCTTGCAGACCCAACCTTTTCATAATGCTCATAGTGCTTTGCCCGTATCTAAGAAGTACCTGGAAAATAGTAAATGCCGAGTTTGGTCAAGATATCTTGGTAACCAAAAAAGGTTTTTAATCAAAAACATGGTTTTCGACCGATCATTCCTATAGCAGCTATATGATATAGTGGTCCGATGTTGATAGGATTTTGCATATATGTGAGAAGCATAGTTAAACTAATAAATTCCGAGTTTGGTCAAGATATCTTGGTAACCAAAAAAGGTTTTTAATCAAAAACATGGTTTTCGACCGATCATTCCTATAGCAGCTATATGATATAGTGGTCCGATGTTGATAGGATTTTGCATATATGTGAGAAGCATAGTTAAACTAATAAATTCCGAGTTTGGTCAAGATATCTTGAAAAACAAAATGTTTTTTCATACAACAACTTAATTTTTGGCCGATCGTTCCTATGGCAGCTATATGATATAAGGGTCCGATCTTAACAGGATTTTGCTTTAATATAAGGAGTTTAGTAAAACTAAGAAATGCCGAGTTTAGTCAAGATATCTTGAAAAACAAAAACGGACAGACGCACATGACTATATCGACTCGGCAGTTGATGCTGATCAAGAATATATATACTTTATGGGGGCGGAGATGTCTCCTTCTATGCGTTACACATTTCACGACAAAATTATAATACCCTCTGCAAGGGTATAAAAGGATATGCTGGAAAGTCCTCGATTTGCTGTATATCGACAAGAACAAATGCGGATATTTGTATATGTTGAACTCTTGGAGAATGAGCTAATAGAGTTTGCGGGTGACTTCTACGGCTTTCACCAAGACATTGCGCAATTCACACTGCGCGCAAAACTATCGAGCAGTCCGGACCTAAACCCAATAGAAGACCTATGGGGCATACTCATCACTATCATCATTTTTTTGCACTATAGTTATTATTCTACATATTTTTCAAAGATAAAGGGCACAAAAATAAAAAAATTCAAAAACAAAATTAGAAAAAAATAGACAATACCAAATTTCGGCAATTATTGCGCTGTCAACTAATTCTTTGCAAAATTAAAACTATTACTGTATATATAAATAAATCTAGGAAACTTTAGCTATCTTAGTTCATATATTTGGTATATTGGCCATAAGCATCCATTACTGACCGCAGACGACGAGACATAGACTGAATAAGGTTATGCAGGTCGTACATTTCAGGTATTTTTAACCATTCTTCTGGAATGGCCCTGATGAGAGCGTTTTTATTATAGCTGGGCTGGTCAGGACTCTGGGCAGGGGTGTCAATGACTTTGTTGCAATTTTACAGCAGCCAGTCTGTAAAGTAGTAACTTGGCCGGGGTGGCAGAACTCAATTTTACCAGGTTCACTGTAGAGTGAGATTTGTAGTTTGCCGAGACGTACAGCTGAAGGGGGGTTTAGAGAACTGCGGTCTCGTCCGGAGCAATTCCTCCACCTGATTGTCGATGACCTGTTGCATCGCCGGGTTCCTCTGGTAGTATCTCTGCTTGATGGGCTCGTTGTCCTTTATGACATACGATGGCTGGCTATGTGGGACACGCACTTCAACCCCTCGAATCGCGCCAACTCCGCCTCTTGAAGCACCTGTAAACTTGGCTCCAGGTCTGCTGGCCAGACGTCCTTGAGGTTGATTCTCTTGCCCGTTGGATCCAGCCACCCTTCCCAGCTTCGCACCTCTAGGTGGTGATTCCCCCCGAATCTCCGCCTCTTCTGACCTCTGTCGTCGCCTGCCCCTTCACCCTAACTCTTGTTGAGTCCCACTTACGCTTCTGTATCCAATCCTTTACTAGCGCTCTAGACACCCCTCGGTTGTCTGACCGCGCCTCAAGCTGCACTTCCCTGATTCCCAGTTTTTCCGGCGTTCCTAGCGTCATCTCGCTGTCCCCACAACGTATCGCCAGACCTATCGTACGGAGAAAGTCCATACTTAGAATCACTTGATCCAGCATCGACGCCATCATTAGTAGAGGCACGCCGATCGTGCGCCCCACTAAACTTATTTCCGCATGCACCATTCGTGAGACATCTAGCCCTGATCCGTCCGCTAGCCGTATCCGTATCCGTATGCACTTCCCTAATCTCCACGTCCTTCGCCACCTTTTTTGCGCAGGCCCCACTGATGAAGGATCGGGTAGCACCGGTGTCGATTGTTGCCGCGTATTTCTCCTCGCCGATCTTGACCGTCGCGACGACACGACCCTCCTCGACTCGCAAGATCTTTACTGGTTCCGGGCTCCGTTGGTATCGCTGCCCATCCGCTCCCGGTCCGGATAGCGCCGCTGCGTCGGCCTGAGTCGGCCGTCTACAGCATCCATTGCTGCTTACCCCTCTGGTCTCACATTGCACGCAAAAAACCACCTGAGGCTTGGGACATTCCCTCCTAAAATGCCCCTCCTGCCCGCATCGAAAGCATATCGGACGTCGCCTAGTTGTTGCTCCAGAATCTTGGCCAATCATCCTGATGGCCGCCGGTAGTGCCCCTGGAACCGCCCCTCTGAGAGCCATCCCACCACTTATGTCCACCACATACTGTTTGAAGCCTTCGCCCTCTCGTTGACGACGAACCCGGATTTCGTCTTCTAACAGTTCAAAGTATCGCGGGGGCAAGAAGCAATCTAAGAATCCCTCCTTGAACTCATCCCATGACACGTCCCTTAGCCAGCTCGTCAGGAACCAGCGTGCGGCTCGCCGATCATGGCCTCGCCCTAGGTAACGCTATCGCCTGCATCACGTATGTTACGGCTCGTATGTTATGACCGGGATTTCGAGCAGGCCAGGAGTGCTCGGGCGGGGGCCGGAATGCGATTCGGATTTCGACCGCCGAACCATTCAACGGGGTCGGGTTCGAGCTGGGCTTTCTGCTCGGGGGTCCGGAGGTATTTGGCCTCTAGCTCGGATAGCCGAGCCCATACTTCGGCCGAGTGCGAACCCCAGAGACGAAGCTTTCCAACCGGCGACGCTAGTCTTCGACCCGCCCTAGTTCGCTCAACCTTACTCGTATCCATCCTTACGTGACCTCTTATCTTTGCTGGTCTTATGGCCGGACTCCGAGTTTCGTTTCCTTCCTTGGGTTGTGCTTTTATCTCCGTAAGCTCATCAGTCTTTCTTGTCTGCGCTCGCTGATTATTTTATTTTGATTTTTATTTTGAATTATTTTTATTTGAATTAATTATTTTTATTTTATTTTAGTCACTTTTATTTTTATTATTTTTATCTTTAATTAATTTTATTTTTATTTTGATTTCTAATTAATTTTATTTTTATTTTGATTTCTAATTAATTTTATTATTATCTTTGACTAATTTTATTTTTATTATTTCGTTTTAATTATTTTAATTTTACTGAGCCGCCCTAAAAATTGACCCTGCGTACTGGCCTCACTCGACAGTACTTTTCCGCTGCACTCGTCTACTCCTTCACCGTTGTACCATGTTCACTCTCATTGGCCACTCTCACTTTATTCCTTTTTTTTTTCTCTTCTTGTTCTATGCACGCCGAGTCTGGCTACTCCGTGCCGCACTTTGTCTTACACTTATATATTCCTTTTTCCGAACACAAAAAAAAAATCCCAAAAAAACACTTTGGCGCACGTGCCTCTTCCCAGTTCTCTTGCATTTTTACTTGTTTACTTTTTTTTGTTTTTGTTGTTGTATTTAAAAAAAAGTTCCACATCTCATAAGGCAACGTCCAACTTATGCCGACGCCGACGCCAGCTGTCTTATTTACAGCGTAATTTCGACACGTACCGAACGATTTGCCCCAGGGTAGGCTTAGCAGCTGTACCGTTGGCACGCGCTCTGCCAACTCGCGACACACGCTTGTGCGTATGAACGTGTATTAGTGTATGAGCATACACACTAGCGCGCTCGAACGAATTCGCTCACTCAGCGAGAAGTTTTATGGCCGTCCGTTAGTTTTTCGCGTCTCTTCTTTGCTATTCCTCTCCTTTCAACACTTGTCTGCCTGCACGTGTGTGCTTGCTGCTGACACCCCAGTGGTACTTTTGATACTCCCTTTTCTATGCCGCGGGCAGCTAACGTATCAGCCAACTGCCCTTTTGGCCCTGTATCCACTCTGGTGGCACTTACGAGTGTTTTTAAGCCACGTTAATGCCACGCCCCTTCACGCCTAGAGTCTCTGCTCGGGCGCCACTTGTAAAGTAGTAACTTGAGGGATTTATGTCTTTCGCAAGAGGGGGAAGGAACCGCTGGACTCACTCCGCTGCGGTTAGGTTAGGATAGGTCAGCGTGATGGGTGCTGCTGGGATCGCTCCGCCGCAGAATAAAAAGCCTGCAAGCACACACAATCGCTATACGGCCTATGCGGCCGACTTGTACAAAATAATGTATGATCGTTCGCACTTTATTTTCTATCTTTCTAACCTGGCAGCTACCTCGCGTTCCCCCTTACGCTTCTTGTCCGTTGTCGCACGCGCACGTTTTGTACTTACGCTCGCTGGATCCAAAGTGAAACTTTGCTGAAGAAATCAGCTTTTTTTATTTATGCTTAACATACTAATACTTCCTTTCATAGGCATCTATAATATATAACAAGTAAGAGGTTCTAGTCGGGAGCTCCCGACTAGGGGATACCCTGAACCCTCTTCTTCCAACATCAAATGCATATATATATTCTATTTTAGAAGCTATATGTCAAGTTTGGTGTCTATAGCTCTTATTATTTACCAAAACTGCCCAAAAACAGGATATCGATATCGATTTTTATCGATTGCTTGGAAACGGAGTAAGTTATCAATTATCGGAAATAAATTCGATCTGCGCGGGAACTAGGAGCACCTACATCTAAAATTTCAAGTCTCTAGCTCTTATAGGTTCTGAGATCCTTGCGTTCATACATACGGACGGACGGACAGATAGACGGACATGGCTAGATCGACTCGGCTATTGATGCTGATCAAGAATATACATACTTTATGGGGTCAGAGATGCTTCCTTCTGCCTGTTACATACATTTGGATTTCGCACAAATACAATATACCCTTATACCCATTTTTAATGGGTTCAGGGTATAAAAACTGACAAAACTAATATTCGCAAATATTTGCCGAAATATAGCCGAATCTATTTAACGGTACTTCCAATTCGAAGTAAATTGCATAAGTGAGTCATTGCATTGTACGAATGCCTTCTTAACAACTTTGCGTTTTGAACAGTACACATCTTGCCTAATTTAGTGCTTCTTGCAATTCCTTAGTTTATTTCTCACTAGATGAAATTTTAGATGTAGGTGCTGCTAGCTCCCGCGCAGATTGAGTTTGTTTCCGATAATCGATAACTTAGTCCGTTTCCAAGCAATCGATAAAAATCTATATCGATATCCTTTTTTTTGGGCAATTTTGGTAAATAATAAGAGTTAGAGTCACCAAATTTGACATATAGCTTCTAAAATAGAATATATATATGCATTTAATGTTGGAAGAAGAGGGTTCAGGGTATCCCCTAGTCGGGAACTCCCGACTAGAAGCTCTTACTTGTTCATTTTGCACACAATTACTTAACAAACTGTATATATTATATATTATTATATATAACCACAAATTTTTTCTTTAATAACTTCAGTGTATATATGTGTTAAGAAACACTGAAGTTATTAAAGAAAAAATTTGTGGTATATATATATATATATACACTATATATGTATATATATATATATACACTAGCGGGTAACCCGGCTTTGCACGTGACACGGATAAAATAAATGTTCTCAAAAAGCTTTAAAAATTATTTTGAAACTAATCATACGGTAAATTATTTATTTTTATACAATCGTTGCCAAATCGCTGAAACAGGTATTCCTTAAGTTCCTATAAAGCTTTGTAAATAAATTTGAAGCAAATCGGACAAAACTTACAACTTAGCCCAAAAAATCTTTTAATCGCATTTTTACCAAAGAAATTTGGATTCTGCGAAAAGAGTGAAACCCACGAAATCGTTATATCCTATTTCCACCAAAATGAAATGGATTTTCAAAAAAGTGCGAAACACCTCCAAATGAATTTGAACATAGATCTTTGAATTTGAATTTAAGACCGCTAGGAGGGTAAACAAAAAAGTTTCATACAAAGGTTTTTCGCGATTTTTCCATACTTCATCACATAGCTCTTACGGTTTGGGCTGTGCGTTGATCACCAATGAGTCAGTCAGTAAGTCAGGACAAACAGTTATATATATATAGATTTTAACTTCTTTTCTCTTGCACTCACGCACAAATATATCTACCGTTAAGTGTATATATATATTTTTCTGCGGGCGAAAATAAGTTCAAATATTTGTTCAGTGGATTTAAGGCAATCCCCTAATCTGGCAGTCTCAACCAGAGCACTCTTAATCTTGTTTGACTGTGGCAGTGGTGATGCAAAAAACTATGCGTATATAATATATTTTAACATATAATCCAACATAGGAATACTGAAAAATTTTCTTTATTATTGTATTGATGAATTTTATTACTAATCAGGTTCCATTTAGATGAAAAAAATGGATCCGTTCCTTTTTTTATATTTGGAGATTTCAATTTCAGATGTGACACAGCAGGTGTTGTTAAAGTAAGTTCACAATACATGTTTTATCTTAATACATATTAATAATAATTATTAAATTTTAATAGGAACTGACTGCAAATTTAACTGCTCATCGCGTCCAAAGTGTAAAGAATGAAAACACTAAAATTAATTATCGCAATTCAGATGGCAACAATATACTTACTGTTGGTAAAAAAGAATTTTGTCACGCCGATCATCAACTTAAATTCAAAGAATTTTGGGTAATAATATAATAATATATATACATATATACATATATATATATATATAACATGCATTTCTTTTTCATTATCCTAGTTAAAAGAGTTTGATAGAGAATTGGAACCACTTACGGACATTTTGGTTGAATATCCGATATCTTTTATTCCATCATATCCTTTTGAAGAAGATCCCGAAATGCCTACTGATTATATGTCAACTAGGTGTCCATCATGGTGTGATCGTATTTTAATGGCTCCACAAGTCAAAGACATAATTAAAAGTGATGAGTGGAAATATGATATGATAGGACAAACTGTATGCATGGGCGACCATAAGGTAACAATTTTTCCAATGTTCAATGAACAGCAATATATATTACTTAGTGTGTAATGTTAATTTTTTCCATTATCTCCGAATATTTAAGTATTTCGTAAATAGAAGCAAGTAATCGGCTCTAGTCTTCTACCAACACAAAATGCAGCTCGCGTTACGAGCTCGTCAACTACAGCAGTAATAGAAATAAAATAAAAAAAATGTTTTCCTCAATAAGACTTGGACCCGTAACAGACCACGAGCCATACCAACAATTCACTTTAAACGAATAATTTATATTTATGAGGTGGTGGCGTGGAAATGAAATATACTTGATATAAACATGTATATATATATGAATATATATATATATATTTGATTATCGAAAACAAACTCGTACTGGGCGGGCACTAGGAGGACCTACGTTCATAGTTTCCGATCGTTTCTATTGCAGCTATATAGTGGTCCCATGTTGATAAAATTTTGAATTTATTTGAGGAGCTATACGAGAAGCTGGATAACAAATTTGCTGAGTCAAGTACATAAAAACTAAGAAACATTGGCAACAATCTAATTACGTCATCAATTTTTATGTATTGCTTCAAGGCGGGGTAATTTTTTGATATTTTCAAACATACTCGTACTGCGAAAGCAAAGACCTAAGTTCCACTTACACTCACATATGTACACTTTTTTATACTCTTAACCCATTAAAAAGTATTTGTATTTGTACGTTTCCAAGTAATCGATAAAAATCTACATCGAAGTCTTGTGTTTTTAGCAAATCTCTTAGGTTTTATAAATATATAATACTGTTTGCCCTGACTGACTGACTGATTATTGATCAATACAGCCTTTACTGTAAGAAGCTGAAATTTTCACTGTAAAGACGGCGGGGGTTCGGGAATACCCGCAAGTGTGGAAAAATCGCGGCAACCAGCTTCAAACTCATTTTCAAAGATCTTTGTTTAAATTAATTTTAGGGGTGTTTCACTCTTCTAGAATTCCATTCCTTCTTTGTGGAAATGAGGGTCAAAGATTTGGTGGTTGACGTTTCGCGCTAAAATTCATATCCAAGGATCTATATGCAAAATCATTTGAGACGTGTTTCACACTTTTCCCAAATCAAAGCTTCCTCAGTTGAAAGTGCGATTCAAAGATTTTTTAAGCGAAGTGTTAAGTTTTGTCCGATATGCTACAAACTTATTTTTAAAGCTCTACATAAGAACTTAATGTATGCGTGTTTCAGCGATTTGGGAAATTCCACCAGTATGTGTGGAAAAACGCGAAAAACGTTTGTATGAAACTTTTTTGTTAACCTTCCGATCGGCCCAAACTCATTTTCAAAGATCTTTGTTCAAATTCATTTGAGGGGTATTTCACACATTTCGAAAAATGCATTACTCCTTGGAAATGGGGGTCAAATTTATTTCCAAAGATCTATACAATGAATCATTTGAGACGTGTCTCACGTTTAGCGCAGAATCTAAGCTTCCTGGAAAGGAATGCGGTTCAAAGATATTTCGGGCGAAGTTTTAAGTTTTTTACTGTTTGCATCAAATTTATCTGCGAAGCTCAACACATAAACTTGATGAATACGTGTTTCAGCGACTTACAAAATTCCACCCGCTTCTGTGGAAATTTGTCAAGAAAACTTTACTCAACTTTTTGGTTTATTATCGGTTCCTAACTCATTTTCAAAGATTGTTATTAGAACATTTGACACGCTTCCGGAAAGTCACCGTAATTGCATGGAAAATGCGGGTTTAATAAACGCACATTTTTTATTCGACCTCAAGGTTCTTACCACAAGACTAACAAGAGCGGAAACCTCTGATTCCAGAATTTGTTTCTTTATCCGATGCACTTCAAACAAGTTTATAAATAGAAGTTGAGATCAAGGTAATGTCTAAAATTGGTAGCACAAAACGTTCCAAGGGCAAGGCCGGGAAATACCCGCTATATATATATATGTATCAAGTATCTTTCCAGCCACAGCCTCCATCCCTTTTCTATAAATCAACAAAATTTGAACTATCCATCAATTTAAGTCACAATTTAAATGAAATAAGATCTACAGCAGAAAATTGCATCAAGATCGGTTAAGAAACACAAAATGCAATTGCGATTGTATTGTTTTCTGTTCTGTGTATATCTGCAGCTATTTAAGTCGATTTTTTGTTGTCGAAAATGAATTGCTTGTATGGGTGTCGAGTAGAAGCGTTAGCAAGTCATGCGGTCTGTTACAAGCTTAAGAATAATTGGGGGACCTATTTTTTTTTTTTAATTCATTTTTATTACTACCAAAGCGAACGAGTTGGGCGAGCTGCATTTGGTGTTCATAGAAGGTTCAGGATATCCCCTAGTCGGGCTCTCCCGACTAGAGCTCTCTTACTTGATTGAAATTAACTATCTATAAATATTTCAAATATAGTACCATTGTTGCTGCTGATATTTCTAATACATTTTTTTCTATTCTTGTCATGTAGCCCATTTACTTAACTGTTCATCTAAAGCCAAACAAAGGTACTTATAGATCATGTGACTACAGCTGTTCAGCTATCCATATTAATAACAACAACAATTTAACATCACCCGTTAAATTCAAGACTTGTCCTTATGTAAAAAAAGTATATAATCAAGTTATAAAAGAAGGTAAAATTCTTAGCCAAGGCAGTAAATCACAAGACCTACCGTTAGACTATTTAAATAGCCATTTAGCTGATGGCCATTATGCAAACACCCCCAACAGACACGATAAACAAATTATAGAGACTACGTTAAAAGTTGAATGCGACGAAGATATACAAAAAGATACCTCAAACTACCCAAGCATTAGCATTAATATAATTAATTCCGATAATATATATGTTTGTATGTGTACACAAACATACAATTCGGTCTCCCGCGGAGCTAAACATGAGACCATTTGCCCAATATGCCGTAATTTAACGAAGGGGCAGCCTGTTGAGCATCGTAACAGGTTATTATCAAATAGTGTTGTATTATCAGAAAATATAATAGTAAATCAAATCGATACACAACACCTTAATACTTATATTGAAAGGTCGTACGTGGACCCGTACACTCCAGAAAGCAATGAATCTAATTCCCCATATCCTGAGCTTAGAAGCATAGCAACAACTTCCCAAAGCAAAAGTTGCAAACTAGAACTTTTTATGGCCACTGATAAAGATCATAAAATGCAATACTCTGGGCAAAATGGAAATGACGAGGACTTATATTCTTTACAATCAGTCCATGCAATCACAGAGAAACAGTCAAGAGCTACCGTTACACCTGTGCAGTTAAAATCTCGATTAGAGGACCTACAACGAACAGAAATGTTTACTTCAGATAGAGATTATGTTGCTTTTGGGAAGGGTGATGTTCATAATGTCGACGCTATTAGCACCCCAAAATATCTTTCAAACAGTAGAAATCGCAATCGTAGTTTTTTTTCTATGTGTTGTAGTATTCACTAATTTAAGTTTTTATTCTATTGTTAATCAGTATTTGTAAGATGTTTTTGTTTTTATTAATATTTAAATTATTATTTTAACTGTTTTGTTGCTATATTTCTAGAAACACTTACAAGTTATTTCATTTTATAAAAAAATAAATTATGCGAAGCTTACGTATAGTTAGAAGTTTTCGAAGATAAAATTAATTACTTAATTTCACACCAAAGATAAATATACCAATAGCCATAATTGACATATTACTGTGATTTTGTATATGCGACAGAATTAATATATTATCTAAATTAAATTGTGTTGCACATAATATTACTATTATTTGTCTAATTACCCCATATCACAGTCGAAAACGATCAAGCTAAGCTGCATCCCTACATTCCTGATAGATTGGGACTCAAAGTGAAGCTAATAATATTATGTTTATCGCTTTTATTTGCATATATGTAATTATAAAATGATTTTAGGAATAACGTAACGTTTATGAAAAAAAAAAAACAAAACAGCCTACAAATGGGCCATATAGTCTTTGTACTTATGATTATGGTTGACAATTATTTTCATTTTTTATTTTTATTTTATATTAGATTTTAAAGTCGCCGTGAAACTAGGTAAACTTAATACAAAAGTTTATCCCAGAAAAATTAAAAAATAGCATTGCCCTACCGCCGAAATATGGGTGGATTTGGCAATGCACATAGTAGATATCAAGAGAAAGAATTATCCATCTGTACATTAGTATAATTGCAGAATTAAAAAAAAAAAACTAAGAAAGGTTAAGAAACAAAACTTCGTAAAATAAATATATCAAAATTAAATTTTTCAGAACAGGTATATATATATTTATATTTATATGTATATTTACTTTATTTTTGTCGTATTTTAATTTTTATAAATATATACACAAAAATAGTTGATGTAATCTGGTTAACTGCATTGTTTTTATTTTTGAGCGCTTCAATAGTGATTATTATCGTTTCAGCTCATTTTAATTACTAAACTTTAAATAAAATTTATGGACTAAAAATGATTTTATATTGTTGTAGAGTCGACAAACAAAACACGCTTAGTCGAAACACTCCATTCATTAAAGACTTTAATGAATCAAACCTTGGTAAACGAAAGTCTCTGGATGACACAGTCGAATGTCGCATGCGCTAGTATTCCGGGGAAACCGATATCCGATTCCCACTATGTTATAGTTAAGGCAATATCTTCAAATCTGAACGTGCCTGATGAAGACTCTTGCGTGGGCAAGCTAGAAACTGATAGAAGACTGATGCTAAAAGAGACAACCGTTTAGAGATTGTCAGCAGAATGGATATTACCAAATGAAAATATATACCACATCCCAAGTACTACCTATTCTAAATCGTTGTAATAACATTGTGTGAATAAAATGAAAATAGATAATTTATTAATTTTTTACACTTTATTGTTAAAGGCATTGAGAAAAAAAGCGGTAAAACTCGAGCTGTTTGAAATATAGTATTTGTGGAACTATTCGATGAGTTTTTTTGCCTTAAAGTATCTGCGAAGGTATAGAACTTGCCAAGTTGCCAGGCCAAGCAAACAGCACATACTAAAAATGCTGAAGAATAGTACTCTACTATTAGTTTTTTCTGAAATAAACAAATCAATATTATTAAAGCTGATATTTCCATGTGTTTCAGTTGTCACCATTTGTATCACGCATTTCTTCCTCTCGCTTACGCATTAAAGCAAAGTCTCGAACGATTGAATCAGAAAGGTCTTCTAAGCGCTTTAGGTCCACTTCAAGGGGTTTGAGTTTGGAGGCCTCGCCTATCTATAAAGACAGTTTCGGGAAAACTTAAATAATCTTTTTTAGTTAATTGTCTTGTATAGCTTACGCCTTCATAACTTTTTGTTTCAACACCCTTTTTCGTTACAAGGGAGACCTCTTGACTTATTCCACGTTGATCTATTATTAAAAGTATCAGTTTGATATTAATTGTATATAACAATTTACTTACGCGGTGGCACTTTTGAAATAAAACAAATTTCATACGCGTCATAAACCTCTGACATAAAGCTGAATTTTCCTTTGGTTATGTGTTCCTTTTGTGACAGTATATGACCCTTGGTGTCCCGAGCCTATAAAATAGTTTGTTTTACTTTTACTGTTAAATTTGCAAAAAATTAAACCTCACTATATAGTCTATAACTTGACCAGGCACATCCGAAACTTCGTATTCGCCCATTACTAATTGATTAGCTTGTATATCCTCCTTGAGACATTTTTGTGTATTTGGTGTCAAGTGGAACATGACACTATGAATTGGCCAAATATATCCGAAGATTGCGAAAATAACATAAAGTACTTTTAGCATTTTCTAACTTTAATACACAGAAAATAAGGCGAATTTAACAATTTCAGCAAAGATGAGTTGGCCAAGGGATGGCCGAACAATCGATATATCACGATGTTTATTTTGATCGATATATTTAACAATTTGTAGTCAAGATGTTATGTGCGTCAAATTAGCGGCGGTGACTTAGCGTCGAATTTTGGTACTTGTTATCGGAAAAGTATCGGTCACTTTCAAATGAATTTATTTATGTTTTTAAGCACGAAACCAAATAAATTTAAATGCAGAATTCCAAAAAATTAAATTATTTACTATCTACATTCATTTATTTTTGAATTTTAATTTATAATATGGGTAAACAAAGGGGTTGAAAAGTTAGGTTTTCACCATTCTTTAAATATCTTAATTCATGGATAATGGCCCCGAAAACCGCATATACACGATTGAAGTCTATAGTTTCACCTAACCAATCCTGCAAAAATTATAAAAATCGATTAGCACGTTTTTAAGATATTTGCACTACAGTGCAGCAACCTCGTTATTAGCCCCATACAAAATGACCGTAAAAAATCACCCTTGCACTTGGACCCTAATATCTTTTCTCAGGGATAATGGCCCTCAATGCACGGTATACCAACTTGAAGATACATGTTTAAGGAAGCTTTACGCATTAATTCTTAACAAATCGATCAGCCAATTTTTTTTAGAAATATAGCAAAATGTAAACACACCTCATGTCCCGCTCAATACTGTATAACATTGTTCAACACTGATTCCGAGCAGTGGTTCGGTTCCCGTTGGAGCTAGTAGCTCGATAGGCCTTTTGAATGAACAACATGAGGTGTGTTAACATTTTGCTATTTTTCTAAAAAAAATTGGCTGATCGATTTGTTTAGAATTAATGCGTAAAGCTTCCTTAAACATGTATCTTCAAGTTGGTATACTGTACATTGAGGGCCATTATCCCTGAGAAAAGATATTAGGGTTCAAGTGCAAGGGTAATTTTTTACGGTCATTTTGTATGGGGCTAGCAACGAGGTTGCTGCAGTGTAGTACAAATATCTTAAAAACATACTGATCGATTTTTATAATTTTTGCAGGATTGGTTAGGTGAAACTATAGACTTCAATCGTGTATATGCGGTTTTCGGGGCCATTATCCATGAATTAAGATATTTAAAGAATGGTGAAAACCTAACTTTTCAACCCCTTTGTTTACCCATATTATAAATTAAAATTCAAAAATAAATGAATGTAGATAGTAAATAATTTAATTTTTTGGAATTCTGCATTTAAATTTATTTGGTTTCTTACCTAAAAATATAAATAAATGCATTTCAAAGTGACCGATACTTTTCCGATAACAAGTACCAAAATTCGACGCTGAGTCACCGCCGCAAATTTGACGCACATCAAGGTGTTGGGTAATAGCACTAAACATACAATGTAGAGACATACCAAATGGCCCTTTTATCGAAACAAAAATAAACGAAACGAGGCAAACCCAAGGGTACCTGCGACCATTTTAGTGTGCCCAGACAGAGTAAGACTGCTGAGAGTGGCAGCTGAACGCCGGCCCCGAAAGCCGAACGTTCAGTATTAAGCCGCATCTCGGCTTGTAAGAATTTTCAGAAAAGACCAAAAATTAACATTGTTTAATTTTTGTGACTTGCTGCTTGTGCACACGCACACTCTTTCGAGTAAGCAGTTGTGTGATATTATTAAAGGGTTTGGCCTGTTTATGTGCCAAATTGCTATTTGCCATGCTTGTTGAAAGGGTAAGGGTACCTCAAAGTTGGCATGTGTGCATGATAACTTTTTGGGCCGGCCAAGCACGCACACTTACGGACTTTTCTATATGGATGAAAGTGCGTGTTGATTGCCCGCCTGCCTGTCCGATGCAAATTTGACAGAATATGAAGATTTTGGCATTTGCGAATTTCGAGCTCTACACACACACATAAACAGCTGATCGAGTTGCTTTAATTTACATAAGCGCCGCAAAGTTTTTCTTCCAAAACTCAACTAATGCGACCTCGAAGCAAGGGCTCCATTTTAGGTACTGTTTTCGACATTTAGCCCTGCTTAAATGCTAAAAACTGTGGGATAATTACAGTTTTAAATTTCTTATTTAAAAAACATCGATAGACATCTCGATTAATCATCACAAAAAACACGAAATGTACAGGCGAATTTACACATTTTTTTTTGCGCCCAAGATCTGCCTGTTCACACATATTTTTGTGTGTGTGCTTTTAGCGTACGAAATACACAAATCACAAAAACTTCCAAACTTGTCAAATTTGCGAGGGACAGGCTGGCAGTCCACCAACAGCCTCAAATGTGCAAGTATGCGTGAATAGTGACTCCAAGAGATTATAAATGCACACATGGCAACGTTTAAGTCCCTTTCCAACGATAACGAGCTAAAATGCAAGAATTTCGCAACGATGTGGCAAACCCTTTCATTATTTCATATTACTCGTCCCTTTAAAAGGGAAGAAAGCCACCGACTTTTGAGAAAAACTGAATTGTAGGCATTCTTGCTTGTGCGGAAAAATAAACACACAGACAGTACTACGGTAAATACACAAAATGAAAGAGCACTGAAACTAAGCCAAAGCAGTGTTCTGCAGTGCGAGGGAATAAAAAAAAGCAGCGATGCCGTTTTATGAACCCTTACAAAAACGTAGGCGACTTTGGACCAGCCGCACAGAAAACGAAAGGCCCCATCGCCGTACTCTGATTTTCCAGTCTATATGTTGCTTGATTAGTGATAGCAGTGAATGTTTTGTTTTTTAGAATAAATATTTTTAACAAGTAAGTTGTCTTTTTTTTAAACTAACACATTTGCTACATGTATATAATTAATTAAATCATAATAACGAATGAATATTTATTTTATAGGTCAATGGTACCAAACGGAATGAGGCTACAAGATCTGAAGCACAAACTGTTTTAGTTGAGGGAGAACTATCATCCTCCACTGATACGAGTGCTTCAGGAGAATCATCACGGTTTTCTGCATATTTGCAGATAGTAACACAAAATCAAAAAGAGCCATTACCTGAAAAATTGTCGAAACATATATAGAAATCGAAAATTTCGATATGGCTCATGGTCGTTTACCATTTGAGAGAAATGTATTGGATTTTGACCAACAAATTATATTGAAATCACCTTTCCCGAGTGAGCTTTCACAGCTTTTGCTGGAAATACCAGCAACTCTGGGGTCGATTGAAAGAGCATTCTCGGCTCTTCACTTTACCTTCGACAAGCCGAAGAATTAATCCCTTGCAGAAAGAACCCTTCAAAACGCTCATATTATTTTGCTCGTATTTAAGAAGCACAGGGAAAACGGTAATGCCGAGTATGGTTAAGATTCCTTGAAAAATAAAAAGTTTTTCCACACAACTTAATTTTCGACCGTTCGTTCCTATGACAACTATATAATATAGTAGTCCGATGTTAATAGGATTTTGCATATATATTAGGAGCATAG